TTACATCTATTAATGTTCATCTATGTGAAGACGACTCAGAATTATCGTCCAATATTTAAAATGTCTGATCTGATGGGTTGGAGGTCGTTCAGAACCATCAGACCCGGTTCTGAGCAGATGAATTGGATCCAGGCTGGAGGCCGATGAAGGTGGAGAACGGTTGGACCAGTGAGGTCGGTTCTCCCCTGAGGAACCTCTGGCCTCCATCTTCTCCAGGTTCTTCTATCTGAGCTTTAAAAGCTTTGGGAGGTGAAGGAGGTGAAGGAGGTGAAGGAGGTGAAGGAGGTGAAGGAGGTGAAGGAGCCTCCTCGCTGCAGAAGCTGCAGCTGATTTGAATGCTGGGAAAGTTTCTCCTGATGCTTCAGTCTTTGAACGGTGAGAAAAGAAGGAAAAGCTTTTGGCTCCTGTAGTTTTATGTGACGCTGGAAAGGAAAACAACGCATTTCGTTTTGCGAAGCTGCATATTTGGTTTGCAGCTCTGAGGAGCGAAGCGTTTTATATGGAAACCACATGAAGATCTGCACATATTTAAGGAGCAGAGCCGAAAGTAGCAGCAGAGAGACAGAAACAAATAACGGAGGTCAGGAGGACGGCGTGTCCCGCCTCTGTCCCTCTGCTGGCACCTGTCCCTGGTTCGGTACCGTTACCATGGCAACCAATGAATGAGTGTTACCCGAGGCGGTCCTCCTCCTTCCTCCGCAGGTCAAAGTCTCTCTGGACCACCTCCCACACATGCCTGGCCTCCTGGTCTGTGAGCTGGGACAGGTCCAGCTTCCCCCCCGCTGCGGCGGCGAGCATGATGGCTGGTCACCTGGAAATGAGACGCGAAATGAGCGTCAATCAGGAGCATTTAGAGAGAAACGAAGAGGTTAGGGACCGAGCTGAAAGGACACATGAACGCATCGCTTCATCGATCCTTTAAGCTCCCTCTGGTTGTGTCTAAACCCCCCCCCCCCCATGGTAAATGGCCTGCACTTATAAAGCGCTTTGGTCTCCTGACTTGACCAAACAACAGTCTCTGGAGGCCGGCCCCCCCGGCCTCCGCCCACCCTGGGTGGGTTGTGTTTTTGTTTTTTCTTGAATATTTTTTCGGGGGTCTGGTATCCGCCCTTTAGTGGGGGGGTCCTGTTAGGTTTCTGTTTTATATTCTTTGTGGTTTATTTATTATTTTCTTGTGTTTTCTAGTTATTTCCAATCTTCTAGGTTCTTCCTTTGTTCCCCTCTGCTGCCCTCTTGTGGTCTCCTTTTTTCCCAGCTCTTTTCCTCTCCTGCTCTGTCCTCACCTGTCCCCAATCCTCCCATTAGCCCTCCCTTTGTCTCAGTCTCCTTTAAATGCTCTCCCTCTTCACTTCCTGTTTGCTGGGGCCTCATCTTACCTCGTCTCTCTGAGTCTTCCTGGTTACAGTAATTCCCCTGATGACTCCATGGTTTTTTTGGGGGGGGTAACCTTTGACCTGATTTATGTCTTTCTTCTTTTTAGATGTTTGGATTTTTTTTTTTTACTTCTGGTTTCTTGTTTTTCTTTGGACTTTTTTTTTCATCTTAGGATATTTGGATTCTTGGTTGCCTGTTTGTTTGGTTTATTCAGTTATTCATTATTAAATCAACTCATAATTCACCTCTGCCTTCCTGCCTCTGCTTTGGGTCAATCGTCCACAAACAAATCCTGACACAAAGATTAGATAAAAATAAATATAAAACATGCACATGCAAACATAAACATCTAAGGTGGAATGAACACTCTTCAAAGTAGATTTATTCAACTTATAACATTTGCAAAAACAATCGTTATGGTTTGTAAGAATAAGTTAAACTAAGGCATCCTGTTTATAGAGGCAGACTCAGCGGATGGAAAATAAGATTTGGGCAAAAAGAAGAAAGAGTTTCTATTAATGCAGCAGATTAG